TGAAGTAAGGTTTGTACTTGTTATTCTATCTCCCTGTTGTTATTTATGCATTGCATTATGGTAAGGGAGAGTGTTAATGTACGAAGGGTGATGCCGTGCCATATTGTGAGTGTTAATGCACGAAGGGTGATGCCGTGCCATGATATGAGAGTTAATGCACAAAGGGTAATGCCGTGCCGTTTCTATTAATTTTATGGTGAGATTGAGAGTAAAAGCACGAAGGGTGATGCCNCCATTATTTATAGTAAATTCTAGAATGCTTGTGAATTGTGACTCCAGATCCGGGTGGTAGTAATTAATACACTTTTATGATATTCCGCACTTATTATATTTTATCTTAGTTAATTATTGTTAATTACTGAATGGGAATAAGGAATTGGTTTAATGATTCTCTAACGTTGGCTTGCCTAGCAAGTGAAATATTAGGTGTCATCACGATCTCGTCGGTGGGAAATTTCGGGTCGTGACAACCTTTTATATTATATGCTATATAATATACTTTACCTAGGTATTTTACTTATAATTAAAATAATTTAATATTATTTTATTTATTATTTTTATAATATATCCGTACATTTAATTTTTTTATTAACGTTAATTTTGAAGATATATCGGTAGTATTATTAAAATTTATCAGTAACATTATTGTGAACAAATCTCAAGTCAACGTTCGTAAACATGCCTAATAAAATATTTTTAATAAAAATTATAAAATCAAAGCTTACTGATTTAACAGCCAAGCCATATACGTTAATCCAATAACTAAAATACCCACATTTAGCACACTGACATGTCAGATTAACACTTCTAAATAAAAATATTAACAGAAAAAGCTTTAAAAATTTAATATTAAATACAAATATCTTTTAAAAAATTGTAAAAGTTTTACTAGCTATAAAAAGCTATAATTTGTTAGACAAATCTGTTTTTATTATTTCAAATTAATATTAAAAAATAAATATTTTTATCTTTTTTATATTTTCAAATATGTATATGTTTGAATATGATTAAAGAAATTGAGTTCCATGAAAAATTAAATATACGAATATATCATAAAAATAATAAATAAAATAATACAAAGTTATTTTAATTATAAGTAAAATATCTAGGTAAAAATATATTATATAATATACAATATACAATATAGAAGGTATTATATAGGAGCATTTATAATGTCAAGGGCTTAATAGAATTTTCAAGTAAAAGTATTATAAAATTTGGCCAAGATGACTTTTGTGATATCAGGGGCGGATGCACGTTTGATGAAGCGGTGTCACGCGACACCGCTTCGTCGGAAAACTTTACTAAATATATGATGAAACGGATAAGTAGGAAAATGACACCACCTGACATAACTTGTCTCTTAGCACGTTGGTTATGTGCTTGATTTTGCTCTATGAGGTCAAAGGTTCGAACCTCCACTAGTACATTTTATTTTGCAAATATTTGAGAGAGTCTATGTGGTTAAAAAGTGATTAAGTAGAATTGAACTCAGGACCTTTTCTAACTTAAGACTTAACAAAATTAATAGAGGGTATTTCTTGTCCAAAAGTATGATATTTAAAGTTATTATTCCAGTTCATCTATAGAGCAAAGTAAAATAATTTTTGTGCAACAAAAGAAAGAAAAATAACTTTTAAATAATGAACACAAAGTTGAACGACTTTTACGTAACAAAAAAAAGTGACTTTTTGATAATGAACACAAAGCTGAATTTACTTCGAGTTCACGTGGCGTTGGCTTTAACATTGGAGCCTGAAATATGAAATAAAAGTATACAAAAAGGATAAGTTGTCCAGAGTTACGAGCTCTATCAACGAGTTTAATTGCTACTGTGGGAAAGAAAAAAATTAGTAATCGGTCTTTTAACCTGTGATGTAAAGCAAATTTTGAACTTCCTTTGACATTGCACCAAAATCTCCATTGATAATCAAGGATCTTCAATTCATTCAACAATTTATATATACTTTACCGTATTTGTATAGTAGTAGTATAATAATTTTTCGATGAAAGCGGTTGATCAATTGCCTTGGATCTACAGAGTATCTGACCATATATGTAAAGGTCCTATTCTGTACTATAATATAAAGAAACTCTTTTTCTTGATAACATTATTCTTCAAGGTTTGGTTTAGGGTCTAGGTCTCAGAAGACAAGGGCATACATGAGATGAATTTAACTTATATGCACTATCCTATTATAATAGGTTATTCATTATTTTCAGGTTCTTACTTTTATTTACTATAGACAGTTTTCTTTTACGTGATGCAATAATATAAGTTTCTTTAAATTGTCACTATATGCGTAGTAGTTAAACTCATCTAAAACGGGACGAAAGCAATGGGACGAAAGCAAAGCCAAGAGGCCTAAGCCCCATAAGTTGTTCTGGGGGAAGCATTAGAAAATAATGGATAATGCAACACACAAAAATATTCTGTATATACAGAATTATATATCTTCACTTAATTATGAAACATCATTTGGTAATTTGAATCAACTCATAAGTTTTCTGCCAAAACTATCGAGATGTTTTTTAAGAGTTGCAACTTACAAGTTATTTTTTCGCTGTAATTTTCTCTGTTCTCATTCCTATCAGTATGTAATTAAGTCTCATTTTCACTTCTTACTCCTCAAAACATTATTAGCAAACAATATCCCCGCACCAAAGTTCAAACTACTTTATGTTATTACATATTCCATGAAACCTTAACATTCAACTATATTCCAATAGATTGATCTAGGAATGGTTTACCTTCTATATACTGAAAGTAAAAAAATTTCATACGTATAATATTTACTAACACTTTCCATCTCTTCCCAATTAATGTACCAAAGTTAACCAGCGAGTGTTACGTTATGTAGTCAAATAGCGCAAAATTGCAACTCCACTGCTCTTTAGTCATGTCCTTTTCTTGCAAAAGTGGAGCAAAGTTGCAGAAACAGAGAGTTGGAGAGAAGGGACTGGGTAAACAAAGCATAAAAAGGAACCTCGCAAAAGCAAGGGCAATAACCAAAATTTTCTTTTTGGCCTTTCTCTGCACTAAAACTCTCTGGGTGAATCGGTTATGTTGGCATGAGTAAGTTTGTTTTGATGATTGACAAAGGAACACATGCATGAACCAGGTCCATGGACAGTGTACACAGTTGACGGGCAGAATCAAGCAAAAGGCATGCACGTGAAAGAGATAAGTATAAGTGATTATTTCTGATAATCCCTGAACGAAAATGTTGCATATTTGATAAGGAGCATGACTCCTTACTTGAAAAGAACTCTATCCAAGATAAGGAAAGAGTTAGAAGTTGAAGATAACTAGAACTCTTCCACCAAGGAAGAGTAAAGCATTAGACTTCTAGTTAATGTTTATTTACTAAATCTATATATATCAGTTGTGTTCTCTTTTACAGGCGATGCACACATACTGAAGTTAAGCACGAATTGAGAGCAAAATAGCAAGGTATTTTGTGAGCAATTCCTATGAGATTTAAGAGTGCGATCCTGAAGCTACACGAACCAGATTGAAGAACCAGCTCCATAAAGGGTTTTATGTGTCTTTCTTTATTTCTAGTTCAAAGTGTAGTGGGCGTTTTGAGTTGTACCTTTCAGCTTTCTTAGAAGCAAATTGTACTAGGTACCTGAGTTGTATCATTCAAGTTAGAGTTAACTTGAAGTAGTCGCAACAGCCTGTGGCGTGTTGCTATAAGGGTTAGAGTTAATCCTTAGGTTTGCAAGAGGTTGTAAACTCGAGTTGTATTATTCAAGTTAGAGTTAACTTGAAACAGTCGCAACAGCATATGACTGGTTGCTATAAGGGTTAGGGTTAATCCTTAGGTTTGCAAGAGTTTGTAAACTTTGTTGTTGGCTCAGAGTTGTAGTGAAGTGTTTGGAGAAAATCCTACTGGGTAGTAGATCGTGGTTTTTTCACCTTTTGAGCCGGGTATTTTTCACGTAAAAATACTTGTGTTCTTTACTTTATGCATTTATTATTCCGCAACTATAGTGTAAGGAACACGTAGAAGAATCAGGTCCTTCTATAATCAATGCACGCGAAAATTGGACACCACACAAATCACTCCCTCTTGTGTGGCACTTAGAGGCAGATGTAGTGTACTGACTACGGGTTCAACTGAACCCACAACTTTTGATGCGGAGTAAAAATTTATATGTAAAAATTCATTAAAATTGCAAAAATAGTAGATATGAATCCATAACTTTAAAAATATAATAGGTTCAATGTTAAAAATCTTAAAATTGAACTTATAGAATTTAAATCCTGAATCTGCCTCTGGTGGCACTGAAGTATAAAACATCAGGTTAGTTGCGAATAACTTTAAACTTTGGTTCCGTTTTAATGGAAATTCTTTCAGCCAGTGTCGTCAGCCATTTCTGTGACTTGTAAGCCTTCAAAACTTCAAAAGGGAACTACTTAAGGTAATGGAACTTATTCTAATCTTATTAGTGATTCAAATTGCCAAAGTAAAAGATGATGGGTGATGGCATGATTTTGATTGATATGAATTGGTGTACGTAGTTGCTCTAGTTGAACAGGGCCAAGGGACGTCTTTAAATTGAACCTATTTATTTAAAACTTATCTAATCACGTTTTATAGCATGATTTATTCAATCATATTGGCAATTCTATAATTTGGCGGAATTATATAAGTTAATATATACGTTGACGGTATTTTTTTTTTACATATATAATCAATATAGGTAGATTAACTTACTACAATAGGTTATTATCATTTTTTATCGAGCCGCCTATTAATGTTTTATCATAAAAAGTTACCTTATAAATGTCCTCATTATGTAAATATTTGTCAATACATTAAACTTAAAACTTGTTTAATCACAACACCACACAAACACAAATATACTAGATGCATCATATGTCCAAGGACAGATTGAAACGATAAGAGAAGATTATCATGACCCTGCAAAAGGACGATACACACAAATCGAGAAATGGTTGCATCATAGCATAGCATGTGCATACATAAAAATAAGGTGAAAGGACCAACTCATGCTTGAAGGATATGACCAATTCATTCATTTCACGTGTCACGTGAGGATCCACATTAAAATTACTTGCCTACATATATCATCTCTATTTTGCTTATATATACTACCAACAAAGAGACTAAGAGATCATTGCTGAATGACATGTTTTTCTCCAAAAAGGAAAAAAGGGGTGTTACTTCTAATAAATACTGATTGATATATGAGTGTAACATAATACTATAAAATACATCAAAACGTGCTAGGGTATTGCTATGGGAGAATTGAGCTGCAAGGAGTGAGTAACATCAGATTCTGGCAAGTTGAGAGGTGGCAAAGAGAATCGGCCATAAGTAGAGCTGCCTTTTCTGATTTCTTGCATAGTCAAAAGAGCTGCTACTGTGTTCCTAAATATCCCTTCTCCTGCAACTGTTATTGCTTCTCTTTCTCCTAATTGATTACTTGTTTTTTCTTCACAAGGTGGAAATACTGAGTCTATGGTGCTTTCACACTCTTTTACCAGCTTTGAAATGAGATCAGTTGTGAAAAATGGCTGGTGCAGCACCTTCTGTATGTAGGGCGAGCGCAGTAATCCACCAGTTCTCTTGTCATACTTCTTCAATATCTTAGCCAACCCTATAAAAATAAGGTGATTATAATTAGTTACATTATTAGATGAAATATTCTTGATTTTCTTCTATTTTTTCAGCTTGGAGGAAAATCAAGAATTCTGCTTTGAGGGAAATCAAGAACTCTTGAATCCTTTCCACATTCTCTAGGCATATTATTGGTTAATAACTGACTTAATTTATTTATAGTTAATGATTTTTTACACTATCAGATCATATAAAGTATAACTGTAAGGTAATTTTTTCAATAATAAGTGGAACTAATTATATGAAAAACAAGGTAGACAACACACTATAACAAATTGAACGATACTAGTTTTTTTTTACACTATCAGTTAAACATAAGTTAATTATATCCATCCATGTATTAGATGTTTAATTTCTTGCTAGATCATAAATTTGTCAAAATTAGGGGTGTCCTTTACAATTTACCTGTGTAGTTAATGTTACTATAGTTCATTAAGAGGACCATTTCACCATGAAAATCAACAATGTCTTTTCTGATCATTGCCATTTCCTCTTTGTAATCTGTCTTAGAGGGTTGGCTCCCATTTAGTCCCCAAGTATCAATTACTTTCCCTATCCTCTGTTGCAACTCCTGCATATATATCAAACATGAATGCTTTATGTATTATCTGGTGAGATATTCTTAAGTAAGCAATCGAAGACATCAATGCAGGATAATGTGAATTTCTAAACTGATTACCAACTGGCAACAACTTTAAGCAAACAAGACATTTAATAATTTAAACATATATGTATGACCATTTCTGAATTTCTGCAAATCATCATACAAAATGTATCAATATTGGACCAACTTTTTCATCAAAAAATGTATATGAGGCCAATATTTAAAAGTTATTTTTATTTTTTTTTAAAAAGGGAAGAGCTCTGCAAAAGTTTCGGAACAAACAGAGTACATTAAGATTGTGGCATCTTTGAGCTTATTCCATAAAGATGCTTCGTCCTCTCTCGTGTATATATATATATATATATATGACAAAGCCTTCTAAGGAAAAAAAAAAGTAGAGTAGGTGGCTTGTGACTACTTTTGGACTAAGTACTAGGTTACCCACAATTGGTTTTTATCTTAAAATATTGTTTAACCGCTTTTAAAATAGTAGCTCAAAAAATATATACTTTATATATAAAATTTATACAAATAGTTTGGCTTCCCTTTTATCTTATTTGAAGCCCAAAATGATCGGAAATAAATGAAGAAAGATTAAAAATAAGCAAAACTAAACAAGCAGAGGACTATAAGATAGTTGCAGGACCCACAACTCATTAATATAGAACTATAATAAATATTATTATTATTAACTGAATAAACAGTTTAGCAAATTTTGACTCACCTAACTCAAACCCCCTTATATTCACCTCACTACAATCACAAAACAAGAAGATTAACCAGAAACTCCACAAGGAGGAAGTACATAATGTTTTTGAGTATGTTAATTGGTGCCATACCTTATGTCGAATAATGAAATCCTCTTCTTGTTCCATAAAGAAAGCATTGAACTTGTCAATCTCATTATTCAACAAATACACAAACTCAGCCTCTGCCTTACCATACTCTAAAGACCCACTCATCATTGGTGAAGCAGAAGAAATCAACTTCACCAATTTTTTCAAGTCCTTATATGACAAGAACTTGTCACGCCACCCTGGTATTGTTTCTTGAATCTGTTGCTTCAACCTCTTCCCAAATTTCATTGCTATATTTTTTTTAAAAAAATGCAATACCCTTTGGCCTAAATTTTAGGAAAAAAATGCTACAAAAATGATGGAGAAGAGGAGAATAGTGTGTGTGTAATAAGCAAAAGAAAACAAGAAGTAGGGGCTGGTTTTTAACAAGTAAAAAAGAAGGAAGTAAGAATATTTAGAAAGCATATGCTTGGCGTGTTGAATGACAGTTTTTGAAAAAGGAAAAACAAAAAAATTAAATTAAAAGGGGGTAGCTGAGGTAAGAGAATTCTCAGCATATTCGTAAATGACTCTTCTTTTTCAACACTATAGTTAATGTGAGAGTCATCTCTCACATGATAGTGATACAAATGAATAAATCGCGGCCGTTGAATAATTAAGTGGAGCGACGTGGCAAAGATCAAATCATCTATAGTCAAGCTGTGACTGTTAGATTAGAATTAGGGTTATGTTATTGGGAATCGGAGAATGGATGATTCTTTGGATTTTGGAATCTTCCGTGGGAGTGCGGGGAAAAGAGAAAACCAAATTTGGGAATATATTTTCTTGGGGTTCTTTATACTCACTTATTCTAATATATAATTTAATATTTATTTTACTTATGTGTTATCTCCATCTTTAAAAATAATTATTATTAAGGATAAAAAAAATAATTAATTAATTTTGTCTTAAACTTTTAAAATGATAAATAATTTAAGATAATTATTTTTAGTAACAATGACTCTTAATATGAGACGGAAGGAGTATTTTTTTAGAAATGCTCATTATTAGTCTAATAGTATAGGCTAAAAAATGTAACAAGTGGGGTATACATATGTACACTGTTCAAACTTTTTTTGGGACTATTTGGTTGGGGTGACTTTTTCTTGCCTTCAACTTCAAGGGTTTCAAGAATTGGACAGTTTAAAACAAGACTTGTCAAATTCTCTAGTAGTAGTAGTTATATACTAATTTTGTTCACCCACATGGAAAATCTTGAAAATCAAAATTAAATATTAGGTTAGTGAAAAATGTTAATATTACAATTGATTCATTATCTAAATTTCACCTAATTATTGAAGGTTTAATTTTTCACCTTATAATTTATTCTCCTCTCCATATGTATAGAGGTGTCGGAATTGGCCCAGAAAAATATGATTCGCCCAACCCGTTCAAGGTTGGGCAAGTAATTAAGCCACCAATTTGTTAAACTCAATACATCTTGACCCAACTCATCTCAGACACCTAAAGTTGGGCTTATTTTAGTCCAAATTGATTCATGAGTAACTTTGCCAAAATATCTTTTTAAATTTATTTTTTTTTGTTTATATGTTATAGATGACCATAACAAAAGGAAAAAAAAAGTTATTTAGTAATTAAATAATTTAAGAAAATAACATATAATTAAGAAGAATTAACCTGAATAGCCGCTCATCCAATCACTTAAATTAAGTATAGCTGGTGAAAATATTATATATGCATAATTTATGTATTATATGTGTATAATTGTGTATAATCAATGTCTATGACTAGAAAAAGTAAACAATGAATATGATCGGCTATTTGTGTAAAGATCCCAATTAATTAAAGCATGGTAAGAGTTGAGTGAGTTGGGCTATAACCCAAATTTTAGGTAAAAATAGCACGGGCTAGCCAATTTTCGGACTGGTAATTGAAAAATAGCCAGCGTTTGAAAAGTCATTGCAAAATAGCCACTATTTTGCTGCAACACGGAAAGTTCCAGCATAATATACTGGAGATTGGTACAAATGTGTATGAACTTGAAACTTCAGCACACGGAAAGTTCCAGTATAATATACTGGAGATTGGAGCACCTGTGTATGAACTTTCAGCATGTTATGCTGGACCAGTATATTATGTTGGAGTATTTTTCGAATTTTGAACAGTGTTTTCGTTTAGATTTATCTTTACATAAAAAGTGGCTAAATTTCTATTACTTTTGAAACTGTGGCTATTTTTCAATTACCACTTGTAAATCTAGCTATTTTTGAATTTCACCCAAATTTTAGCCTATCTTGACCTAACTCATCACCTCCTAAGTAATGTTTATTGACCCGCCAATTTATTGACTCAGCTCATTTTGACCCCCAAAATCGACCCAACCCGCCTATTTCACGCCCCTCTATGTATAATAAATTTTAAGAAAAGAAAAAAAAGGGTGGCGTGTCCTAAATCCTAACTAACCCTATTAAAAGTTTGGAGTCTTGTCTTCTTCTCTTTCTCGACATGTGTTTAATTATGCCCATGTTCGAAATTTCTTGTTTACACGCATTCAGTTTAACGAGCCAAAAACTAGAAAGTTCTGTTTCAACTAGGTTTTCACTTGCGTGGAGACAAGAATGCCTATACAAATTTAGTACACTGGCTTATAGTGACCTTATACCCCATATAGGGTACTATGGTGGTACTTATTAGACGGTTTGGCTAAATCTTTAGAAAATTTAAAGTTCTTAATTTTCAAAAAGAAATGTTTATTTTGGAGAGTTAGTGTTTGGCCAAGGTTATGGGGGAAAATAAGTGATATATTAACAGAAACTATTTTTCCCATTTTAAGATGGTATCTTTTGGTTGGTTAGTTTGATATATTCCTACGTTCTCTTACTATCCTTTTGACATTGCTTTACACTAAATAGTATATAATGGAATCGAATTAGATGGTGGGAGGAGAATGGAGATGAGCAAATTAACTTTTTATGGAAGGAAACTTAATTTGATCAACAGAGTATTTTATGGCAAAGAAAAAATCAAATCATCTCTAGTCAAGGCTTGTGTCTTTTAGATTAGCAATGGGGCTATGTAATTGGGAATTGGAGAAAGGATGATTCTTTGGAATCTCCTATAGGAGTGTGGGGAAAAAAGAATACCAAATTGAGATGTGAGTGGTTCTTTATACTTCAAAAGAAATGCTATCCAGTCTAATATCATAGTCTAAAAATGTAAGACGTGGGGTCTACCTCTATATTGGTCAAACTTTTGGGACTACTATTTAAGTTAAATATTTCAAGAATTGAATACAAGATTTGTCAAATCTTAACAGTTGTAGTATTAATACTAATGGTGTCCAGCTTCACCAGAAATCGTGAAATTCAAATAAATATTTTTAGGTAGGGGTGTTCATAAAAGTCCGAAAAATCGAACCAAACCGAAAACCAAACCAAATCGACCCAAAAAAACCGATATTTTTAGGTTTGGTTTGGTTTTGGTTTTAAATTTTAAAAATCGATCAAATTTGGTTTGGTTTTAATCAAAAAAATAATAGGAAAAAAAGAACCAAACTGACTATAAAAATAGCTATTTAATTTTATTATTACACACACACACACACACACACACACACANAGTACCAGAATTTATTTTATGTTAAAAATAATTAATTTTTAATTGAGTACTTAAATTATTCATCACTATTTGAGTTAATTATCATCAATATATCTTGGTAAATGATAGATTTCTCAAAGAGCAATTGGTTTGATAGCGTTACGTTGAAAATTTAGTCACCAGAATATGCGTTTGGTAGTGTATATCTCATATTTAAGAAAAAATTAATAAATAACCAAAAAAATTGACAAAAACTGAATCGATAAAAAATCGACTTAATTGGTTTGGGTTGGTTCCAATATTTAAAACCGACTTACTTGATTTGATTTATTTTTAGGTGGCTAGGTTGGTGTGTGTCGTACTTCCTAACTGATTCTCTTGAAGTTGAAGTCTTGATCTTTTCCTCTTTTCAAAAATCTCTTTTGTGCATATGTTTGCAATTTACGATTAAACACATAGTAGAAATTAAATTCACGTCCCTATTAAACTTAGAAGTATTTTAATTCGGGTAATCCTTTTATCTTTATTGGTACCTGTCACGATTCCAAATTCCCTCCGTAGGAGGTCGTGATGGCACCTAGTCTCTAAGACTAGGTAAGCCTATCAATGCGGAATAATCATAAATATCTGAAATAAATAAACTACAATTCAAATAATTACAACTCCCAAAACCAGGTAGAAATAAGTTACAAGTTTCTAAAAATTTATTCTCAATATCTCTATTTATCAAGGTCTAAAGAAAAATAAGAAAGCAACATAAAAATGATAGAAGGGGACTCCGGAATCTGCGGATGCTGACAGATATACCTCGAAGTCTCCGTCGGCAGGTAACTCACTGACGTCTAGACTGGTAAGATGTACCTGGATCTGCACAAAAAGATGTGCAGAAGCGTAGTATGAGTACACCACAGCGGTACCAAGTAAGTGCTAAGCCTAACCTCGGTAGAGTAGTGAGAGGTCAGGTGAGGCCCTACTGGAATATAATAATGGCATGGTAAAATGTTTAACAATATAGTAAAATAAAATGACATTGGAAATGAATCAAGTAGTGTGTCACCATTTAATTAAGCAAAATAATGGCAAATAATATTTTTTGGAAACAAAACAGAATTTCAAATAATATCTCATGGAAACAAAACCGAATTTCCTTTCAACTTTAAGAAAATCACAAGAAATAATCAAGGCAACTGCGGCCATAAATCAATATCAACAAGGGCACTCTCGAGGTACCGCCTTGTAGTCCCAAATCATAAACAAATTCACAATATCTCATTTCCTTATCTCACCGCGGGAGCCTTCACAATTTATTTGAAAGAAAATATTTTTTTCGAAATAGCATCCCGCATTTTAGCCATCCTTATCACACCGCATGACTTCTAGTAGTTCTCCCTACTAGCCACGCGTATCAAGCCACCCTTATCTCAACGCATGCGTTTCAATAACTAGACTTTATACCACTGCATGCGTATCAATATCACAATATATCACAATTTGCACCTCAAGTGCTCAAATAATGTAACTTGCCAAAATAATTCAACAACAATATTTTTCCACAATAAAGAGCTCACGGCTCGATCACAATGAGTATAAAAATCTTACAAAATATTCAAGAATAAATAATTCAGAAAAATAATATTTTAAAATCTTTAATATGTTTCTTCAATATCAAATTTAAAATGTCAAATACTTCATATTCATAATGTTTAATTTAAAGAAAATC